ATGTGGTGGAAACAGCGGAGGGGTACGTATACCCAGCTGTGCTCCTGAGGGGGGATCTCTGCACCTGCCACACCATCCACCACCACTCTCTGGGTGCGGCCCTCCAGCCAGTTGGCGACCCATTTGATTGTATAGGTGTCGACACCACAGTCCCCCAGTTTCTTAATGAGAACGGGGTGCGAGACAGTGTCAAAGGCCTTCCAAACGTCCAGGAAGACTACGTCCACTGCTACCCCTGCAGCTAAGGATTTAGTGAACTGGTCGTAGAAGCCCACCAAGTTAGTCTGACAGGACCTGCTTCTAATGAACCTGTGTTGGTTGCCCCTAAGCATGACCTCCCCTGCTGGCCCCTCATGGACATGTGCCAGGATAATTCTATGATTCATCATAAACCAAACACATGGCTGGGAGATGGGAGAGGAAGAAGGGTTTCTAGCAGTCAGCATGAGCCACTCAGAACCAAGGCTGCTACAGAAAAGGTAGTTGCCCAGACCTGGAATAAGCCCTTTGAATTTGGCTTTGGAGCCAGCCAAAGATCAGGGCTGACCACAGCACAGTAAAGAGCCTGACTGAAGTGGCAAGAGACCTGAAGAGACTCATATTCATGGCATACCCAGCCACAGTCTTTCCATACAGCAGCACATTAGAAGGGGAAGCAAGTAAGATGGAAACTGATAGCCACGAGCCCTGTAAGCACAGCTCAGGGCCTAGTCAGTATGCCGGCAAATGGGATTCTTATCCAGGTCATCCTGTCGCTGAGTGAATAAAAGTGATCAACTCCATTTCTAAAGAAAGGGGAACTGACCACAATGCTAAAACTAAAAGAGGCAGTTCAGCTGAATGCTGACACTGAAAAAACTGACCATGAAAGGAGGACAAATACAGCTACGAAGCAGGCCAGGAAAGTATGTTAAAAGCTTTGAATGTTACGTTATAATGGAAACTCTCCCAGCATGTGAAAGGGGTCTTGGGAGGAGATGCTTAGCTGAAGGGGCAATGCCTGGAGGGGCAAGAAGACCTCAGGGTATTTTTGGAGCTAGGAGCTTGGTTACTGGATGTATAATACGAGCTGTGAAAGGCAGAGCAAGTAGCAGGCACTGGCTTGGACAGAGGAGTTATTTGGCCAGACACACCAGGAGTGCTGGACACAGGGGATCCAGACCCCACCAGCTCATGGTGTCAAGGAGAGACAACATCTGCAAAAAGTGCCTTTCTGCACAAACTGAGAAAATCAGGTTTGAAAATTAAAGCTCTAGAATTTGAGTAGACCCATCTGGGAAGCCAAGATAGAAGATGAGCTAATGACTGCGCTGGATTTCCTAATGGTTAACAAATGTGTCGTCAGTGCCAGGAAAGGCATTGTACAAGTCACTCTACAGTAATTCTCTTTCAAGATGTGGCCTGGGTGAAGTCAAAGGTTTACAGGTAACTGGCTGCATGGAGCAAGTTGTCTTGCTGCCAGAGTTATGAATCATTATGTTGACTACATCCAGTGGTAACTTCCCTGCAAAGGACAGGTGGCGACTGACTGAAACCCTGGGTCTTGGGAGACTCTTTAGCTGCTAATGTGTCTGTAGATCTGAAATAAGAACTTATCCCTGTCAGCCTGAAGAATGTTTCTGAGAAGCAGAGAACAGTGGGGGAAAAAAAAGGAACTATGGTTGCAACATGTGTGCCAGGTGGTCTGGTAAATGCTGGCATAGACAAAACCATGGGAGGGAATTTCCACTGACAAAAAAAAATAATCAAGGCCATGCAAAACTGACCCAGACCCTGACACCCACTGAATTTATTGGGCTCCGCTCTGACCACAAAAAGCCCATGTGTCAGTTTGCTGATACTGCTTCAGATGGGTAAGAAAGACACTGCAGCTGTCAGCAAAGCATTCCTTGACCTTCTCAGAGTCATTGTGGTCTTTGTGTCTAACAAACCCCTGTCATACTGGATTCAGGTGCTCAGGTTTACCAGTGGGTCAGAAGGGACACAGAAACCACAGACACTACACAGATGGACAGGGAAAAAGGGGGAGTGGGACTCACTGAGAGAGACCCCTCCTACCTGCTAAAAGAAAATCAGGGAGTGGAAACCTTCAAAGAGGTCCTGATGGGAGCAAAAAAGTCTTGTACTGAGGACCCCACCAGGACCCTGTGACTGTAAACCGGGAGACCTGTATCACTTCTAAGCAACAACATTACATTTCTTTCCTTTGCATCTGGGATGAGTGTTTAGCGTCCCAACATTTCTGGCTCCATGGAGTGACATTAAGGCAGGAGATGCGGGTTGTACTGAACCTGTTGGAGACCAGCACATTGAACCGCAGCACTTCCACTGGGATAGCTGTGGGAAGTCACTGCACTCCCTTAGGGAAGCAGTGGGCTGAAAGAACAGCAGCCTCCTAGCCCAGAACACAAGGCACATGTACTCTCACCACATCCAGACTACAGCAGTGGTGAACGGATGCTGCCGTACACTGTTTTGGCACAAGGTCTGGAAGGGAGACAGCTCAGATGCAGAAACAGGGGCTGGGAAGACAACCTGACCCTGCACGGATGTGTAGTGCTGGGGTAATCCAGAAGAGCAAGCTGAGAACAGGGGAAACTGTCTCTTGGTTGCTTTATTCCCCCATGCTCAAGTAAACCAGATTTTGTATGTTCCTATAAACATGCAGGAGGACAACAGAGAGACCTGTCCCTGTCCCCAGCTCCTCCCTCAACTGGAGTAATACACAATCCCCCAAATTCTGGTCAAAATGGGTAGCAGGGGACCAAACCCAAGGACCACTGAGTCCTGCCTCTGCCCTGCTCTAGATACTTCAGATGACAGTGCAAACCCCTTGCAATGAGCAGCTGTGGGCTACCTTGCCTCAAAAAGGTCTCATTCTAACCCCTAATGGTTGGGTGCTGGTTGAGAGCAGCATTTCCCAAACCTTCACACCTCACCATAGTAAACTGGGCACTCTCATGCCCCCTACTTTAGCAGTGCTGCTGCCTTCATTGCCACTTCTCCTGCAGTGGTGGTGGATGGAGTAGCGGGGCACAAGAGTGGCTGGTGTAGGGGGACCACTGACTGCTGTCATGGTTTTCATGTGCCCTTTCAGAAGCACATCATGCACCTAGTTTGGGAAATGCTGGCTGAAACTTGGGCATAAGATCCTGTATCCCCCCCACTGTTCTCATGGGCACTGACTTCTGTGGCCCTGGGGATGCTTGCTCTGCAGAGAACTGCCCAGTCTCTCTGCCTTCTGCCTAGCAGAGGCATCAGGAGGCACTTGCCACATGTGCACTCTGGCTCTAAGTGATGGTGGTAGGCGGACAAAGCCAGCAGTAGACCACAGCATGCCTGCTGCTCATCACTAAACCCTTAACACCTGATCCCATCTCCAGTCATGTCCCATGCCACAGACCCCAGCACAAAAGTGGTGGCCTCAAGGGGTGGTCACTGATAGTGCCATCCTGTCTGGGAAGATGACAACGTACCTCTCTCCCTGTCTCCCTCCACTCTTGGGGTTCACAAAGACCAGCAGCGGGTGTGTCCCAGGCTGGGGGCTGATCTGAAATGCAAAGAGAAGAACAATCACCCTCCTTAGAAGACATGCAAAAACTGTCCTGTGTGCATGGGGGCAGGAAGGAGGGCACTCAGGGGGGGCACCCAATCTCCCACAAAGGGTAAGTAGGAGCCATGCAGCCTTGCCACGCTGGATGGTCCACACTTCTAGCACTGGAGGAGTAATCTCACATGAAGGAAGAGGCCAGGGAGGGACCTCAAGGGCGGAGTCATGGCCACTGTTCTACACAGACAAAAAACTGTCTGGCACATGATGGGAGCAGGGTATGCAATGCCAGGCCCATGTTCTGCCGGCTGATATAGCTACAGTGAACCCTGTGCATTGCAGTAGTGACTAGCAGTTGCAGTCTCTCTGGGCTCACCACCCTGCAGACACAGGCCAAAGAGAAGGCCCGTCCCCTGCCATTTGAGGACAAGACCAGAGGAGCAAAGGAAGGCAACCAATGGATGGGAACGGCAAGCAGAAGCAGAGCAATGATATCCGCCAAGGTAATCAGCTCTTTGTTGTCCTTTCTGGAAATACAGCCTCAGGAGCAATGGGTCACATGAGGGACAAAAAAAGGCGGTTGTTGGGAAACAGTCTCACCAGGACAGGTTCACCAGGCCAGACTGCCCCTGCCTGGGTTTCCATACCCTGAGGCTGGCAATTCCTGCTCTGCTATACCACAGTCACCAGTGGGAAAGCAATGCTGAAGGCATGTAAATGGTAGCTCCTCAGTCACAGCCTCTTCTGCCATTAGCCAGTGCAGGAGAATTCAAGAGGGACTCTTGACCCCAGGCCTCTTGCTCCAGGCCCAGCAGAGGCGTGCTCTAAAGCAGAAAGCAGCTCTCAGCCACCTACCTGCAAGCCTTGCCCATCCACAGTGGTAGAATTGAACTTGAAGGTCTGGTTAGCATCATCTGGACTGGTGCTGGCAGGAGAATCGCTGTCTGATTTCCTTGAATGGGGCTGTCTTTCCTTTTAAAGGGGAGAAAAATGCAAAATATGTAGCACTCGGCTGAAGACCAGCAGAGAGATGCATTCATTTGTCACATCTGACCCCCTAGGATAATTTCAGGTGGGACAAAGCTATTGGTGCACCCATTATCTGGAAGCTTCCACAAAATGAATGGTGACCATTCTATCGGCACACAGGCATAAGCACCACAGATGCACTCAATGAGAGCTGTGGCACACAGGCAGAGAAGCATGGAAATCAGCAGTCAAGGCTACAGTTATGCCCAGTACAACAGCAGCCTCCCAGCACGACTTCACTGGCATGTCCACTTTCCACCCTATTGCACATGCTGCCACCACCCACAGAGCTGTCCCTGCATGTCCTAATGTCAGCAATGACTGGCCACTGTGACACCCCATTATAACAGGTCATACATGTGTGGGTGGAAGGCATGTGTGCATGGCTCAGCTTAGCCATGTATGACACAAAGTGGATCCGAGCCTTTGAAAGCCACAACAGAAGTGGACAGCAGATGTCTGCCTGTGTTTTGATACCATGCTGTGTATTCTTATCCTGCCACTGCAGGGCATGGGAATACTTTAGTGGCATTTTCAGTCTTACCCCTGCACAGTAAGAGGCCTTGGAAGTGCCAAAGTAAGACCCTTCCTGGCAGTTCTTTGAGGTGGGCCTTGATGGTGGTGAGGCCACTGGCACTGAATGTTGTGGAAGGTCGGTGTTTCTAGCGGGTTAATGCTAGTCTCTGAGTACTGCTATACAAGGGATTGTGCTGTGAGGAAATGCCCTTGTGCCAGCTTCGCTTTGAACTAAGAAAGATGCCTGTGGGGGAGAGGGGCATACTTACGAGGGGGCACATGCACATGTATGTGCAGCTATCTGATGGTGCCTATAGCCTGCAGAGCCCTTGTCACATGAGCCCCTATAGGTCTGCTTACCAGAACAACTGGGCAGATGTAGGAAGGCAGCAAGATGTGGTCCTTGAGCTGCCCTCCATCACACTCTGGCTTCACATGAGAGGCACATTTGTTATGAAGCTGGATGAAAAGAGAGAGAGAGAGAGAGAGAGAGAGAGAGGAAAGCGGGTGTGAGCATGACTGCCTCCCCTCCAAGGACCCCAATTCTGGGCTGCGGTGAGGGGATCATGTGGAGCTGAGCAGCAGAGAAGGCCTGCACGGTATGTATAAGCACCGAACACACCAGCTTTCCACAGGAGGTCTGCCTGACGGGGGCCTTGGGCTTGGTCTGATGCCAGAGGAGCAGTAATATGTAGCCTAGTTGTTCAGGCACCATGACTTCCCAGGCAGGGGCTTCCAGTCCCCCTCAGCGTTCATGGGCCTGAATCTCCTTCTTCCTGCTCCACTGCCTGCTTTCTTAAAACCTCTCCCTATTGCCTTGGTTATTTTCTACCTCAGGAGAAGAGCACTCAGGGCTGCTTTAGTCAGGGGCCATGGCACTCACACTGCAAGGCTCTGAGAGGGCTGTGGCCTGCAGGAGGGAGAAATAAGAGCAAGTGCAGACAGCTGCCAAAGCTGCCTCCTCTGTGCTACCGCTACCTACTTCCAGGCACAGAGGCACAGGGCTGCAGGGACAAGGAGAGGAAGCCATAAGCTCAGAGCAGTTCTCAGGGGATGGCCCACAGCACCTTTGGGGCAGAGGGAGAGGGAGAGGGGACAGGAGGGCCTGGAGTAGCTTTGGGAAAGCTGTGCCGTTCCCTTTCTAGGTGGACTAGTGCAGGAGGAAGTTTGCAATGTGACATCCCAGCCTGGTACAAGGGAGCTGACTGAGTGCCAGCATCACCACCATTCCCAAGGGCACCCCTCACGGCTCACTTATCACCCAAAGAAACCCACCGGCAACAGCTGGCTGGAGAACCAGGGGAGACTCTTGCCTCCTGCCACACCCCTGACTCTCAGTGCTCCCTTGTAAAGGCAGAAGCCAAGGCCTTTTTCGGTCCTGCCTAAGGTAACGTTACTCACAGTGTGATACCTGGAGCTCCTCCAGATGTGCCCATGCCAAGGGACCCAGGCCAGAGACTTTGCAACTCTGAGTATTTAAATTAGTCACCCTCTTGCCCCAGCCATGGGCACAGAGGACAGAGAGGAACCAAGCTGCCACTACAGTCCCGTCCCCACTGTGATCCCCACAGCAGCCAGGCACAGGGATCCTTGACCGAGGGGGCAGAGGGCAGGGCGTGGAGTGCTTATGGGCGTATCGTGTGTCAAAGACCTCCAAACACTGCACCAGCAGGTAAGTTCTCTCTTCTTTGCATGCTTGTTCCTGAGCACGTTTTAATGCGGCCAGCACCAGGGCCAGGGGAGGGTGTAGAACTGACTGCATTAACATCCTACCACCAGGGGCACGCAGTGCAGATCCTTTTATTAGTGCCTTGTGCTTGAGGAAGCAGGACTGTTTCCCCATGTGGCTGCTCTACACAAAGGAAGAATCTGGATATTTTTCACAGGTCTGAAGGCCACTGAGGTCACATAAGCTTTACCAGGAGTCACCTATTCAAGAGGTCATGGTAGAACTAGATACCACTTTAGAAGTCGTGGTGTGGAAACCAGCTTCAATCCTTGCTCTCTCAGCAACAAAGACTGATAATGTAGGGTATCATTTGAAAGGCTTAATCCTACGCAAATAAAAAGTTAAGACTCTTAAGGAGCATCTATTGTCTCTTCCCCCTGGGAATGAGGTTTTGGGGGAGGAAGCCAAGAAACAGCATATTTCTTCCTAATGTTGTTTACAGCTGGAAGGTGCAACCAACTCAGTTAGCTGCAGACAGGGGCACCCTACCTCAGACCAAGAGCCCAGAGAGGAACTGGAACGGCAACCGGTTCAACATTGCACTATATGATCCTGGTTTGGTGTGCAACCCTGGTTAGCAGCTTGCAGAAACTGTTAGCAAAATCTCTAATCTTGGGTGCACACAGCACATAGCTGCAGGCACAAATATTGGTGCATCAGGCCACAGGACCTGCCAGACCTTCTTTTATGAGTGTCACTGGGGCAGCAGAAGCATGTGGGTTCCCTGGGACAGTTGCCTTCATTCTCCTCCCACTGTACAAGCCTTTCCTCAGAGCCACCTGTTTCAGTTGCAGTGAGCCCAGTGGTCACTGCCTGACAAAATGCAGGACCATAAGCTTCTCTAGTCCCTCCACTGGCCCAGATCTACTGCAGTGGCAGCTAAGTCACGCTTGTTCCATGATGAGCCCATCACTCGCTTCTCAATGGAGACTCCCTGCTCAAGATGACGGCAGTTTGTATGACATGGGCCCATGCCCCTGAGGAACCGGGTTGACCCAGCTCATATCCACGAGGCCAAAATCCTCCTCCTTGCCAGTGGCAACAGGCTTTGGAATGATATGGACGAGAGCTGGATGTAAGCAGGTCACTGAGACGCAGAAGCCTTTGCAACCTAATGACCTGGGCCCTTCCATCTGGGGCAGGGGGCTGGACTCAATGATCTTCTGAGGTCCCTTCCAGCCCTAATGCCTATGAAAAAAAATCTCCCCAGCACCCCTAGGTGCTAGCAAAGCCCGCGCATCATCCACTCCATGTACTCACTGTGATTTGGCACCATACACAGTGTAACCCGGTAATACCCTGGTAGCATTTGATACTTTTGTGGCACCGGTCACACTTGACTGGGGAGTTGCCCTCAATCCATGTGTGCTGCATCACCTAAAAGCACAGGAGAGAAAGGAAAGAGGGATGGCACTGTGCACCCAGACTGAGGGCACAGCCAGCCTGTGGCACCCTTGGTACCCTGTACCAGCCCAGGCCCTGGGTGGCAGTGAATGGGTGGGGACTGCAGTCCTGGGCTTAGAGCATGTCCTAAGGAGGAAGTGTGACAGACCAAACAGCATAATGAGGACATATCAGAACAAGACTGCATGGTGTGTGTCCTGGAGGAGTCCACGGATCCAAAGCTCTCAGAGGACACTAGAAAACTTGGGATAAAGGGTTCTGGACATTGTGATAGGCTGCCACTACTCCTTTCCCTAGACATTAGAGGATGTTGGCCTGCTTTACCCAGCAGACAAGTGGATGCCGTCCTGCTAAATGTAGCTGCTCTTCAGAGGCACAGCTGCCCACCACAGGAAAAGCCCAAGTTTCTCTAGGCTTGGGGAGCCTCAAGCGAACAGCAAACCACAGGAAAAGACAATCCCCACAGCTCAACGGTGGCCAGGGGCTGGTTGCATGGAATGATGCTCCAATATTTAAGTCTGCTGGTGGGCACCTGGCTCCATAGTTACCCTCCCTACAACTCATTCTGCCTGGGTTTAGACCTTCGAAGGCGAGTCTGTGCTAAACCTGACGTGAGCCTTTCAGCTCCTTTCAGGATGTTAAGCACTGATGAGAGCCTTTCAGGATCTTAAGCAACTCCACTGGCGACTGGTCAGCTAAGAACCCCAACTGAAGAAGACCATGGCTTTCTAAAACTTCACTCATCTCCTGCTGCTAGGCCTCAGATAGAGAATGGAGGAAATGACCCCTCACAAGGACAGGCCCATTGTGGTCTCTAAGGATTGCACAGATAGCTCTGGCATGAGCAGACCTGCAATAGAAGCCAGTCAGTGGAGGCCCACAAGCACACTACTTACATTTGTGTTTCTCTTGGATTTCACATAAGTGCTGATGCAGGAGGCGATTTCTTTGGACACGCACCTTTCATGGACAGTATATTTACAAACTGCAAGGGAGAGGAAGACAGAAGTCACCTCTAAACTCTCCACACAGTCACATGGCACCCACCTTAGAGCTGCCTTGAGGCATTGGCAAAGGAATGGAACATCAGAACCATGTGTCTTAGCATGAATGACAACTTACAGATGATGGACAATGTCTGGAAGACCACACTGATTGATTAAAAGTTGCAAAAGCCTAACATCAACATTGCAGCCTTACAGGAGATAACATTGGCCAACTCAGGCTCCATTCATGAAGCCAACTACACCTTTTTCTGGGAAGGCAGAAGTGCAGAAGATACTCACATACATGGGGTCAGATTTGCAGTTTGCAACAGGTTGGTCAAAACCATGGAGAACCCCACTGGAACATCAGATTGCATCATCTCACTCTGACTACAGTCAACTGCCTATTGCATTGACAACATTAGCGCCTATGCACCAACTTTACAGGCAAGTTCAGATGATAACGGGCAACTTTTACAATGCCCTGCACCAAGTCATTGAGCACCTACTATCAATAGAGACGCGTCCCCTCTAAGGGGACTTTAATGCTCGACTAGACATAGATTATGACTCTTGGCCTACCTGCCTGGGACATCATGGCATTGGAAAAATGTATGAAAATGCTGGGAGGAAATGAATTCATGCACAGACTAGCATAAAACTGCCAAGAGGAGCAGAGGCAAAACAGTGCAGCCAGATGCCCAGGGCAGCTGTGACACATGGGCCAGCTCAATCATGCAGCGAGTGCTGCGGTAGTGTTATCATCCCCCCTGCCCCTCCCCCCCAAGTCAGTGCCCAAGGAAGCTGCCCCAGATGCCCTGCCCTAGTTATGCTACAGAGGAGGAAGGACCACCAACAACCACAGGCACCACATAAGAGCACGGGCTGCCTGCTGTCTCATGTGTCTGTGAGATGTCCAGCACCTCTAGAGAAATGTCAAGCATTATCCAACTCTGCTGACTCCCAGCCTGACCCAACAATACCAAGCCTAAAGCCTGAGGATTCAGAGGCATACAAACTTGCCTGAGCTGTGCTCAACCATTAGAGGAACAAGCCCCTGTAATGATGGGATTAGCAGATCAAACAACCTGCAGGAAGACACCCCAGGGAGATGGGAGTAGTGCTCTTTTACTGGCAGACAGGGGGACCAGTACTGCATAAATAGCTAAGGCAGGCAGAGTATAGAGCCCAGTGAAGACACTCCAGGTGTCCCCCTGGGCCTGCCCTTGAGACCTCAGACTCTAGCTGCATAACAGAAGCCACTTGGAAGGCCTGACTGGCTCATTTCCAACACGGGTAGAGACACCTCAAAGTTAGATGGGTTTACACTCCTTTTTAAACCTGCAATGTCCTTCTCCCCATCCTGGAGTGCCCTAACACCCCCTTCCCCCAACCCACTCAGTACAGCCCTTCCTGAGTGATATCTGTGTTTAGACCTGTGTATGAGGAAGCAGGCAGGTGAGTCAGGCTGGAGCTCTCTGGGCCAGGACACACTTCTGCCATGACACAGACAAGCCCTGAATATCCCAGCCTCAGGGGTATGAATTAAACCCAGAAAGCCAGCAACATGTGGCTTCCTTTGTTTAAAGAATGGCCTCTGGCAGGCTGGCTCATCCAGCATGGTGGCAACTATGCTATACTGAAAGGGAGAGGTCAGATCTGTGCCACAGGGCAAGGACAGGGGTCGTATGCCGATGTGTGTGCAGGACTCACAGGAACAGCACAGGCCCTGCTTCCGGACTCCCAGGAGCATGGTGCGGCAGAAGTTGCAGTAGGCAGGTTTCTTGAAGTGCTTCAGTCTCCAGGCATGCTGCCCATCATCCTTCACATTCTGCAGGCAAAACACAGCAGCAGTCGGTCAGGGGAGGCCAAGAAGGAGCCCCCAGTGGCCACTTCAAGGCCATTCAGGATGCCCCGATTGGAAATCACTACTCTAACCCTTATAACAACAAAAGGGCAGCCAGGGTGTATTGGGCCACAGGTTCATCTAGCCCTGTCTCCTGTATCTGACCAGGATGACGGAGGGACTGTCTATCTCTTGCTCATCCATGCCTATCTTAGCTAGGATCCTATCCTGAGATAGGACTGAGGGTCAGTGGGTGCCAGGGTTCTCTGCTCTGTGTCCCCCTCTTGGAGCTCTAGTTATTATCCTACGATCTGCACTCCCATTCCTGTCTCTTTCTCTGTTGTGCCAAGGACTTAAGTGGCATTTAGTGGTCTTCCTCTAACTGAGGGGGACTTATGGCTTCCTGGTGGGCCTAGGCCCACTGTCTCTGTCCAGCAATTAGGCCTGTATCCAGCTGATAAGCAGTGGATGCTTTAGAGGAAGAGTATTAAAAGCAAGGCATGTGTAGGGTGATCCAAGGGCAGTCAACCTGGCTGGTTTCTGTCTTCATTCTTCTCCCTTATCAAACCCAGGGCTGCTAAAATTTCTGCCTCTGGTAACCCCTAGGGCATGTCTCTCAGTCCGTTCACCTTCTCTGCTTTCTATGTGGCAGTGCTATTGCCTTTAAAACACTCTGTGCTTCTTGGCTTATTCTTCTTCCACTTCTTCCACTCATTCCACACACAGGGCTACATGCAGCGAGGCAGGCATCAGCTGCACACCCTCATCGCCGGCCCAGCACAGGGGCTTGTTTCCACCTTACCGATCAACCCACTCAGAAAGACATACTCCCAAACGCCAGATTCCACTCTACCAATTATGTGCGCGAGTATAGTCAGGTCAGACCAGGCCAGGTCTGCTACCATTATGACACTAGATGGTACTACCTACAGCTGTCAATGCCAAGAGCTAGGAGGCAGAAAATAGCTTAGCAACCTCTATGGTGCCAATGGCATTGGGTGGAGAAGCAACATAGAGCAGGGTGGAGGAAATGGCACCAAAAGGAGGATTCCATGGCGGGGTGGACTGGGCTCTCCAGCCTTGGTTGGCAACCAGTCTAGGAGTGGAGCCCTGAGAGGTGGATGGAAGGATGATCTTCTTTGTACCAGCAGCTCCTGCAGCCAAGCTGCTCCAAATGTACTGGCTTCTGTCTTTCCTTTGGGATCAACCAACTAGGCTAAGAGGGGGACATTGATATATGAGCAACTTGAGCATCTCCATATTCACTGTCCGGACCATTGCAGCTAAAACTGAATGGAGAGGACACTCCATCTTTGCTACTTGCAGGGACACAACATGGAAGGGGGCAGTCATGGGTTATAAGCTGAACTCAATTGGTGTACAGTGCCACGCATCACCTTCATTGGTGGGGGGAACCAGTTGTGTTCCACTGGTCAGCTACTGCCCACCTTAAGCTGAGCAGACCCCAGCCAGTAAGGTGCTGATCTGCCATGGTCTGCCTGCCTTGTTTGGTGCGTAGGGCTAGACCAAAAGTTGAAAAACAAATGGCAAATCAAGTACCAGGCAACAAGAAAAGAAACCTTAAAACCTTCCAGCTGGGAAGTTGGAATGTCAGAACCACGTGTCTTAGCATGAATGACAATTTACAGATGATGGACAATGTCTGGAAGACCGCACTGTTTGATCAAGGGCTGCAAAAACTTAACATCAACATTGCAGCCTTACAGGAGATAAGATTGGCCAACTCAGGCTCCATTCATGAAGCCAACTATACCATTTTATGGGAAGGCAGAAGTGCAGAAGATACTCACCTACATTGAGTCAGATTTGCAGTTTGCAACAGGTTGGTCAAAACCATGGAGAACCCCATTGGAACATCAGATTGCATCATCTCACTCTGACTACAGTCAACTGATTAATGTGTTAACAACATTAGCACCTATGCACCAACTTTACAGGCAAGTTCAGATGATAACGATAATTTCTACAATGCCCTGCACCAAGTCATTGAGCACCTACTATCAAATGAGAGGCTTCCCCTCCAAGGGGACTTTAATGCTTGAGTAGGCGTAGATCATGACTCTTGGCCAACCTGTCTGGGACATCATAGCATCAGAAAAACGAATGAAAATGGGACTAGCGTCTTCTCAAACTCTGCACCTTAAACTCCCTGTGTATCACTAACATCTACTTTTCAGGCAAAGGGCATCAAAAAGTATCAGGGAGACACCCACTATCTGGCCACTGGCACCTGTTGGAACTCGTGATCACCAGGAGGAAAGACTTGACCAGTATACTACCCACCCGCCCTTATCACAGTGCAGATTGTGACACAGAAAACTCCCTTATTGTTAGCAAAGTGAAAGTGATACCAAAAAAGCTGTGTAGAGCCAAACATAACAGCAAGTCAGCCAAGAATTAATATACACAACACAAAAATTCAAAGCAAGTGCCTTGACTTTCAAAGGACCTTTAAGTTAGCTACATCTACAAAAGCAATTAACTGCAAATGCTGAAGGAGCTTGGAGTGGATTAAGACCTCAATCCAGCCCCAATGGCTGCAGCAGCTCTCACTTGTCTTTAGCTGGATAGGCAAACATGAATAGGCAAGTATGAGTGTATCCAATGCCCAGAGCAAAATGGGAGTATTCATTAGCTTGATTTTATCAACCCAAGAACTCCAGGCCTGCACCAAGCAGGCTGAGACAGAGAATGGACTGCTATATTTGGGGTTCAAGTCAACAACCATTCCTTGGCTAAAGTTGCCACTAACTGCCATTATATGCTAACAGTATTAAAATGGCTCACCCTGTTTTCCCAGGAAGACACCAATCTGGGTGGACATCTGATGGTTGCAGTCATCCTAAAACAGAGTTCTATGGGGCTCGTGTTGCAAATCAGTGAAGATGTGGGTCCTTAAGTTATCATTTTGATCCAAAGCACATCTCTGTGTGAAACCAAATTCATCTCTGACCCAGGCTTCACTTCAATAACGATAATGGCATGGAATGAAAAAGGGTAGTGACCTACCACTCCATGCATCTGTTTCAGATGCCATCAGGTGTCCACAAGGTGGATCCTGCTGGTGTGTGCAGTGTGGTGGAACACTGACTGTGAACCTCTTGTCACCCTGATTCATCATAGGGTTTGCCCCTCTCTCACAAGAAGCTTTAAAGTCCAAGGCCAAGGTTCAGTGTTGAGCCTTTAGAAAGTTCAACAAACAGAGTCCAGTCCATGGGGACAGTGTGAGAACATCAGACTGGAAGGAGCCTTCAGTTCTGAGTCATCAGCTCCAGTCCCCTGCATTCAAAGGAAATTGTTCATGCAAGGAATCCCCAAAATGGCCACTTCAGCTTCTCACCCACAACAGGGCACAATACTCAGAATGCTAGGAACAGCTTACAACAGACTGTAGGAAAAGCAGGGGAGATGATGGCACTGCCAGTCCATTAATGCATCTCATTTTGTAAGACACCATCATCTTATCCCTAAGCTTAAAAAAGCAGCAACGTGGAAGACCCAAACACCTTCTTCATTAATAGCTTTTCAGGGCTTTAAGCATGATGGAATAGGGTCACGCTTTCATATTTGCATCCACTTACACATTTAATAGGTAAAATAGAGCCTGGCCCTG